CAGCCAGGTGGCATCATTGATGGACTCAAGTGTGGCGGCGGTAGTGAGGTTGGCCCAGGATCGAACGTTGTTTCGTTCTGCCGTGCATGGGGTCGCTGTGAGTCGGTTCCGACTCGATGGCACCTGACAACAACAACATAGGGTCACTGAGTTGGAATCAACTTGATGGTAGTGTGTTTATGTTGTTAAGTGCTATCAAGTCGGTTCCAGCTCATAGCACCCTGTACAGGGCTTCTCAGGCTGTAAATCTTTGCTGGAGCAGAAAGTCTCATCTTCTCCCGTGGAGTGACTGGTGGGCTCAAACCCTTGACTTGGTGCTTTGCTGCACAGTGCTTAGTGTATGGAGTGGATTTAGAGTGGATTTCTACATTCTGTTATAGTCATGGAGTCCTGGTGTGGCACTGTAGGATAAGCACTGGATTGCTAATCCACTACCATTTTGTTGATTCCAACAAATGTTACGTGTCGTTGAATTGGCTCTGACTCATAGTGACCCTGTATAGGGATTCCAAGGAGCAGATTGGTGGGTTTGGATATATTTGTAGGACATATAACTACATATATAGAAATATCCTGTCATACCTACATTTATTTGTGGGTGTAGTCCCATTTGTCATCCTACCCCTTCAGCTTGGTGCGTGTCCACTCATAGATTGTTACCATTGTTATTGCAGGACTGTGTTTGAAATATTTACATTTGTTGTCTCTAACTCCTGTGTCCTTCGCAGTGTCTTCCTTTGCCTTGATCATTTTGTGCTGACCTCACCCTTATTGGATGCTGCCTGTCCCTTCACCCAAGTTAATGTCTACCCTCTAATGGCTGATTTACCATCTTTTTACAATGCTTCCTGCATTGTTGAATATTTTCCTCCAGAGACTCCTTCAATATTATACTTAAGGCTTGTATTTTTTTCTTCAGTTCTTTCAGCTGAGAAATGCTGAACATGTTTTTCCCATTTGGTTTTCTAACTCCAGGTCTTTAAGCATTTCACTGTTAATACTTGACTCTGTCTACTCAAGCTGCCTTTTGAAATTTTCTGTACAGCTTTTATATCATTTCTTTTTTTTTTTTTTGTATCTTTTATATATTCACTTTAGTTACTGTATGTGTGTAAGAGCAAGTTTCCAAGTCTCTTCTGACATCTACTTTATTACCATAATGAAAAAAGTAACTCAGAAGTAAAGGATCCATACCCAGCCTCAACTTCTCCATCCCATCTCATCAAAGGTTCTCAAGAAAGGAAGAGACACCCTTTCTCCTTATCATTTTCTCCCTAACCTGGCTTGCAGCTCTGAACTGCAAGGTCTCTCATTAGGAAAGGCCTCTTAATTTCTAACTGTATCCTGTACTTGTGTTGGTCCCAACTCTGCAGACATGGCCCTACGAGGAATGGTGACTGCCCAGCTTCTGCCAGGCGCCTCTGCCCCTCCCCGGGCACTGCTCACACTGCACTTGCCTCTACCCCTCCCCAACCAACTGCCTTCCCCCGCCCCAGACAATGACCCCACCCTCCCCAGCCAGCTGCCTACTGCTCCAGGTCTATCCAGTCCAGGCCTCTCCTGCACTGCAGAGGATTAACGAGGCAGCTCCAAGTGTAGATGTGCTGGTACCTGTTCCCACTCACCAGAAACTTGGCTTCACCCTGCTCAAGATCCGTTTTTCTTGCATCATAACACCACTGCCCAGTTTTCCACACATGAATGGCAGGTCTCACTGGCATTACCCCTCACTCTCATGACCCACATGCGGTCACCCGGGCTTGTCAGTGTGATTCCCAGGCAGCTACCCAGAGCCATCCTGATTGCTGCCAGCTTCCTGTCTCCTGTCGACCTATCAGCCATGCCTTCAGCAGATGAGCAGAAGGTTCAAACCTCAGTGCGTCTCCCCTATTTCCGCTCTTCACTGGTTATTTCTTAAAGATCAAAGCCAACGTTTCCTAGCCTGTGCTCCTATGGACCCCTCAGACACATCCCCTGGGATTTGACAAAAGAGACTGTTGAATGCCTCTGGGTATTTGCATGGCACTGGTAGCCTGCGATCCTCTTCCTCTCCCTTGTCTGCCATGTTTCTCTCCATCTTTCAAAACCGCGCCAGTATCTCCTTACCCCATAGGTGGCTTATCTGCTTCCATCTCTGCGCCACACCTGGGCTTTGCACACCGTCTGCACCACTCCCAGACCTGGTCAGGAAGCAGGGATTGACGCGAACTGGGCTTAAATTTGCACAGGTGAACAAAGAATAGGAGGAAACCTCTCTCCCCCGAACGTGAGCAACACGGGGAGGTCAGCTTTCTGGTCCAGAATCGTGTTGACAGGGAGAGCGGAGCTTGGCCATTCAAACTCCAGGAAGATTCTGCGTTGAGAGTAAGGGGGTGGGCTTGGCACTCAATGTCCCTTTCCCAGATCCAGCTCCGGAGAGACGGGGGATGCAGAAACCAAAGCTGGTCTGCAACCTCAGCCTGAACCTGAGGGCCCTAGAGTTGCCTGATGAAAAGGGTCCGGGAGTCCAGCTCCAGGCCCCTGTCTCCGAATTTCCCCTCCCCGAGGCGTCTTCCTAGTGCAGCGTTGGCAGTATGATCAGGCGGGCCTGTTTCCTCCTAGACAATGGCGGGCAAGGAGAGATCAAGCGGCGCAGGAGGTGTGTGGAGGAGACGCAGGCCGCCCAGGGCTCTAGCGGCAGGAAGGCTGGGGCGGAGCAGAGGAGGGAACCGCCGCTGGACAGCGCCAACCCCGGAAGCGGCCAGGAGGTACCAGCGGGGCTGAGCGGGGCGGGGAGACGCGGACTCGGGTCGGCGGGACCTCACCGGGCCCCTTTCCTCCCCAGGACGCGCTGTGGCTGCAGGAGGTCGCAAACCTGTCCGAGTGGCTGAGCGCCGGTCCCTGAATACATTTCCCGGAGCAAGCGCACGGCTGTAAGCGCGGCGCCGCTAAACCACAATTCAATAAACACGATGTGCTTGCAGTTTCTGCTTCCGTGTCCGGGGGCGGGCCCTGGGCGCGCTGCCTGACGTCACCACTGCTTCCGGCAGGCGTGGAGGGCGCGCCGCGCCGCGCCGGGTCCGCGGGAGCGGGCGCGATGGCGGCGCTGGGCGGGGACGGGCTGCGCCTGTTGTCGGTGTCGCGACCGGAGCGGCAGTCCGAGTCGGCAGCTCTGGGCGGACCGGGTCCCGGGCTGTGCTGCTGGGTGTCGGTGTTCTCCTGCCTCAGTCTTGCCTGCTCCTATGTGGGCAGCCTCTACGTCTGGAAGAGCGAGCTGCCCAGGTGCGGGGGCCACGTGAGGCGGGGCTGCGGGCGGAGCCGGGGCGGGCCGCGGGCGGGCCCCCTGAACTGACTGTCCCCTCTGCAGGGACCACCCCGCCGTCATCAAGCGGCGCTTCACCAGCGTCCTGGTGGTGTCCAGCCTCTCGCCCCTCTGCGTGCTGCTCTGGAGGGAGCTCACGGGCATCCAGGTGCGAGGGGCGGGGCAGAGGGCCGCGGGGCGCGCGCTCAGGCGTCTGAGGGGCGGGGAGCAAGACTGATGCCCCCCTTCCTGTGGCTCAGCCAGGCACATCCCTGCTCACCCTGATGGGCTTCAGGCTGGAGGGCATTTTCCCAGCAGCGCTGCTGCCCTTGCTGCTGACCATGGTGAGTGTGCCCGTGCCCTGGAACCAGTATCAGAATTTTCAGGCTACTTTTCCCCCTTCTTGTTGGGTCTGGCTTTTGATTGCTGGGAGATAGGAATTGTGTGATGACCCTTGGGGGTGCATGTGTGGAAACTCCTGGCCAGAACGGGAAGCTGGAAGCCTCCCGAGGCCCTGCCTGGCCAGCGCAGAGGATTATGGTGGAAGTCTTCCTGCTTGTCTGCCCCCAGATCCTTTTCCTGGGCCCACTGATGCAGCTCTCTATGGATTGCCCCTGTGACCTGGCTGATGGGCTGAAGGTTGTCCTGGGTGAGTCCTGGGGGCCGAGGAAAACAGACACAGGCCTTCCAGCAGTGTGGGGAAAGGGACGCAGTGGGCTGAAGCCAGGGCGTCGCTGGGCCTTCTGCTGTGACACCTGGATGGGAGACAGATGTCTCCCTGGGTGTGTCGCCTCATCAGTAAAATACAGAGCTGGGCGACTTCTGGGTTCTGGTACCTGAAGTCTGAGAGACCTTACCAAGGATCACCTGTACCTCCTAACCTTGCCCCCAAACCAGAGTTGCTCTTGGGCAAGTTGATTTTTCCTGAAATTATCAGATCTCTGTGTCTGACAAATAGAGGGTAGACCGTCCCTTTTTCAGAGTATTGGAGTCTGACCTAGGCTTGACCGGGCAGCAGTATGGGTGTTGAAGAGCTCGTCACTTGTTGCTTCTTCTGATTTCTTTCCCCTAGCCCCGCGCTCCTGGGCTCGCTGCCTTACAGACATGCTTTGGCTGCGGAACCAAGTGATTGCGCCCTTGACGGAGGAGCTGGTGTTCCGGGCCTGTATGCTGCCCATGTTGGCCCCATGCACAGGCCTAGGCCCTGCCGTGTTCACCTGTCCGCTCTTCTTTGGAGTCGGTGAGTGTGTACAGCCTGCTCCTGCTGAGTTGAGGACGGGGCCTGGGGGAGGCCAGCAGGGTGTGACGAGGCTCTGGCCTTCCTCCCAGCCCATTTCCACCACATCATCGAGCAGCTGCGGTTCCGCCAGAGCAGCGTGGGGAGCATCTTTTTGTCTGCGGGTGAGTCCTAGGGGCAGGCCTGGGCTGGGGGAAATGACGGTGTCCCTGATAGCCTACTCTAGGGCAGAAGTGGGAGCAGGGCTGGAGGGTTGGGGGGATTATGACCACAGTGGAGTGCAGAGGTCAGCTCTGGGTGGTGGGCGTGCGGTGCTGGGGCAGGAGGGGTGTACACGTGTGGTCATTCGAGGTTCTGTCTACAGCGTTCCAGTTCTCCTACACCGCAGTCTTCGGTGCCTACACTGCTTTCCTCTTCATCCGAACAGGTGGGTCTTGCAGGTCCCCAGGGGCTCAGGAGCCACGTTTCAGGCGAGATTGGGCACATTGTTTTTCACCGGTGCAATCACAAGTTTCTTCTCCTGGGGCCTACCGTCTGGGTGGTGGGAGGAGCCAGGCCGGCCTGGGTGGTTGAGTATGGTGGAGGGCATTGATGGGGGCTGTCAGCTGCTGCTGCTGCTGCGTCCCTCCCCAGGCCACCTGATTGGACCAGTCCTCTGCCACTCGTTCTGCAATTACATGGGCTTCCCTGCTGTGTGTGCGGCCCTGGAGCACCCGCAGCGACGGCCCCTGCTGGCTGGCTACGCACTGGGCGTGGGACTCTTCCTGCTTCTCCTGCAGCCCCTCACGGACCCCAAGCTCTACGGCAGCCTCCCCCTGTGTGTGCTCTTGGAGCGGGCAGGGGACTCAGAGGCCCCCCTGTGCTCCTGACCCGAACTGTCACTCACCCTCACAGACTCTAATGGGCTCCCGGCTCCTTCCTGCCAAGGGACAGGGCTGGCGGAGGTCCCTGAGATCTCAGGAATTTTTGTAGGGGATTGAAGCCAGAGCTAGTTGGCTCTCCCAGGGACCAAGACAAGGAGCAGACATCCCTGGGAGCAACCCCGCTCGAGGGGCTGAGGACCAGCTGGGAGTGAGGGGTTGGGCAGGCCCCAGAGCCATGCCCCCTGCCCCCACTCGGACTGCCTCCTTCTCTGAGGCCCTCTGTTCCCTCAGCTTTGGAAAAGCTGCTCAGGGGTAGAACCTGTGACCCCCCACTTTCCCAGGGTTTCCTCATTTTTGCATCAGAACTTTGTATTGGGATATTAAAGAGATTTAACTTGGGTAACACAGCCTAGGAGCTTTGGGAATCAGCCTGTTGGGGGTATCTGGGGTGAGGGCCCTGGGCAGTTCTGGGGAGTCCCCACCTCCTGGCCATGGCACCGCTGGGCAGATCAGAGGAAGCAGAGCTCCCTAGACTAAGGGACTGAGGGGGCCTCTGGCTAGCCCTGACCTAGCCCATATGGACCTGGGGCTATGCACATGCCAAGTTCATCCTGGGGTCTGCCCTGGCTGCCAAAGTCAGAGTAGAGCCCATCACCCTGGTCAGTGAGGGATCCCTCAGCCAGGTCTCCCCCAGTAGTTTACCTCTTCACCCACCCAGGAGTTGAGTAAGGTTCCCCAGAGGAATCTGGAGCAGAGCTGGGTGGGCCCCCCAGAGCAGGGTCGGAGAAAACTGGCTCCTACCCGAAACCTGCACCTCGTGGTGGTCTCTGCTGCCCACCCAGTGACTAGTGTGTGCTTTAAAATCCCACCTCCCACCAAATCTTCACATTCCGCACCCCCAGGCAGCTCGCCTGTCCCCAAGACACCACCTGGAACACCCAGGCTTGGTGCTTACACAGTGGTAGGTAGAGCCTGCTGTCTCCCACTAGCTGTGGGGGCCTGGGTAGGAGTTCTGCTCTCTAGACTGATGCAAGTGCCAACTCCCTGAACTTGTTAAGTGTTCTCGTAGTCTAGTGACTGAAATCAAGGTCACCATTGTTATCATCACCATGCTTGAAGCCTTCTGGGGCTGTGGGAGGAACAGCAGACAGGCAGAGGGAAGCCAGCTTTATTGAACACATTCCCAGGAGCTGGAGCCAAGGTGACACCCCCCCCCCCTCCCCCGGGGAGTAGACCCCCTGAGCTTCTCCCAGGTCCTGGGCCATTTCACCCCTTATCATCTCTGGAGAGGGAGGGCCCCTATTTGGCAAGAGATGAACAGGTGAGTGTGGCCCGCCAATGGGAAAAGACTGGTGATGGGGTGATGGCGGCCAGGTGCCCCCACCACCTGAGGCAGAGGACAGGACTTCCAGGGCGGGGCCTGCCTGCCCTCAGCACTGACCGCCCAGCGGCCCTGTCGGCACAGCATCTGGCAAAGGCTCCGAGGGGACGGCCAGGCTGCGTGTAGACTGTCACTCGATCTCCAGGATGAGGTCATCACCCTCCAATGTCATGTCTGTGGTCACGTGGACCTTGTGGACAGTGCCCTCCATGGGCGCGGTCACCACAGTCTCCATCTTCATGGCGCTGAGCACACACAGTGGTTGGCCCTTGGCCACCTTGGCCCCTGGTGCCACCTTGATGTCGATCACCTTCCCTGGCATGGGCGCCCCGACCTGGCCCTTCACATCCTTCAGGGCCTTGGGATGGAAGTGCATCTCCTAGGGGTGGGGCAGAGGATGTGTGAGCCCCGAGCAGGCTCCGCCACCCCTCCACCTGGCCTGTACCCCCTCCTACCTTCATGGCCTGCGTGTCTTTGACGAGGATGGATCGCAACTGCCCATTGAGCTCAAAGAAGACCTGCCGTTGGCCAGCACGGTTCAGCTCACTCATGGCCAGGGCCTTGATGTGCAGTGTCTTGCCCCGCTCCAGCTCCACCTGCGAGCGACGGGGTGGGGGGGCGCTAAGGCATTGCTGACCCTTCAAAGCGGGAGGGGCTGGGGGCACCAGCCAGGAGGTGGGGCGGGGTGGTAGGAGGGCAGCACTGACCTCGAACTCCTCTGCAATTTTGGGTCCCTGCAGGAAGAGGCGAGTGTTGAGGCTGTCCAGGGGGCCAAAGGTGGCGGTGAAGTCCTTAAAGTGAGCAAAGACGTCAGGGTACATGGCTGCCGAGAGCACGTCCTCTGGGGTCACCTCCTCCCCATGCCTTTCGGTCAGCTCCTTCTCCAATGCCTGCAGGTCCAGTGGGGGCAGGGAGGCACCAGGCCGCCCCTCCACCCTCGGTAGATCCTTCAGCACCTGGGAACGAGGCGGGGGTCAGACCTGCACCTGCCAGCGCCCCTTGCCCCCAGCAGGGTCCAGCCTACCTTAGAGCGCAGGGGCTCAGGGAAGCCTCCATGGGGGACCCCGATGTAGCCCTGGAGAAACTCCACCACTGAGCGGGGGAAGGACAGCTCCTCGGCCTGGGCCTCGGCCTCTGCTCGGCTCAGCCCGTTCTGTACCATGAACTGAGCCAGGTCCCCCACGATCTTGGAAGAGGGGGTCACCTGAGGAGAAGGGCCAGGAGGTGAGAACCTGGCACCTGAGGGAGGTGTGGGCACGGGCGGGAGCAGCAGCACCTCACCTTGATCAGGTCGCCCAGCATCTGGTTGGCCTCCACATAGGCCTTCTTCACCTCCTTGAACTTGGCGCCGAGCCCCATGCTGTGGGCCTGGAAGTGCAGGTTGGTGTACTGGCCCCCAGGGATCTCGTTCTCGTACACGTCCGAGTTGCCGGACTTCATGGTAGCCGTGCAATCAAAGGCTGAGTACAGCCCCCGGGCCCCCTCCCAGTACTCACTGTAATCAAACACTCGTTCCAGGGGGACCCCTGGGGGAGGCCAGCGTCAGGGGCAGGTCCTCCTCCCAGGACCCCAGGGCCAGCTCAGTACCCATCTCGGGTGTGGGCATGGGGAGCTGACGGGGTGTTAGGACGGACAGCAGCCTGCTGGGCCTCTGTTTGGAGAAGGACACACTCACGCTTGTACCTACCTGTTTCCAGCGGGGTCCCGCGGGTGCAGGCCACCAGGGCTCCCATGCTGGGCTGTGATGTCATCCCGGACATGGAGTCAGCTGCCACGTCCACCACATCGGCTCCGGCCTGGGCACAGGCCAGCATGGCTGCCACACCTGCACCTGACGTGTCGTGCGTGTGGATGTGCAGTGGGAGGTCGGGGAAGCGGTCACGGAGGGAGCCTACCAGCATGGAGCAGGCTGTGGGCTTTAGCAGCCCAGCCATGTCCTGGGGGAGAAAGATGGAGTGAGGTAGGCAGGGGATGTGTGTGGAGAGGAAGCAAAAGGGAGGCCTGGGTGGGGGTCAGAGCTGGGCACCTTGATGCACAGGATGTGGGTCCCTGCGCGCACTAACTCCTCCGCCAGGTCCATGTAGTACTGCAGCGAGTACTTGGTGCGGCTGGGGTCCCCGACGTCCCCTGTGTAGGAGATGGCGGCCTCCACCACGCCCCCAGCATTGCCCGCTGCCTCCATGCCCAGCAGTAGGTTGGGCAGGTAGTTGAGGGAATCAAAGACTCGGAAGATATCCATGCCGTTCTCCTTGGCTACCTCACAAAACCTGAGAGGGTGGAGGAGCCCAGATATTAGCCCCCACCACACCCTCTCTGCCCTGCAGCCCCCTGGGAGCTGAGGGTCTGGCATCCACAGAGCGAATGTGAAGGGTGCAGGCCGAGTCCCACTAATGCCTCTCTCTTGGGGTCCCCGCTGTCCACAAGTAAAGCAGGGGACCTAAGGGCCCCTGACTCCCCAGCTACAGCTCACTTGAAGACCACATTATCGGGGTAGTTGGTATAGCCCACAGCGTTGGCTCCGCGCAGCAGCATCTGGAACGGGATGTTGGGGATGAGCTCCCGGAGCTCCTGCAGCCGCCGCCAGGGACACTCGTAGAGGAAGCGCATGGCAACGTCAAACGTGGCTCCTGAGGGACCAGAGCCCAGGTCAGCCTACGCCCGGCCTGCACCTCAGGGTCCACCAGCTTCCCCCCTCCTCCGATCCCTGTCTTCCCTGCCCGCTCCCCCTGGATGTACCAGGTGTAGCTCGTGATGCTACCGATTTCCTCCTGGGGGGGGCCCAGCAGGCCAGGCCCTGGGGACTGGCCCAGAACCTACCTCCCCAGTTCTCCATGCTGAAGAGGCTACTGAAGTTGTGGGCAGCATAGGGGGCAATTTTTTTGAGGTCATGGGTCCTCACGCGGGTGGCCAGTAGTGACTGGTGGGCATCCCGGAAGGTTGTGTCCATCAGCAGCAGCCCCTGGTGGCTTCGAACAGCCTGGGCGAAGCCCTCAGGCCCCTCCCGCAGGAGGATGTCCCTAAAGCCGGCTGGAGGCGGGCCTGGGGCAGAGGGGCATTGGTACCCAGGCTGCAGGCCACACCCTCCTCCCCCACCCCACATTCCTACCCGCACGTAGCAAAGTCAAGACTACCTACCTATGGGGACCATGGGGACCACAGGGTCGATGGGGCTGGGACTGGCTTTGACAGGTATGGGGGTGGTGGGGCCATTCACCATGACGTGGCCTGCAGAGAACATGGGCTACAGTCAGGGCGCTGCCTATCCATCCCCTGCATCCAGGCCTGGGTGGAAAAAGGGGGTCTCCGAGGTTAGGAGCAGAAAGGCTGGGTGGAGTGGGGGAGAAGGAGGCGGGGGGGTGGGGGGGCGAGCAGGCAGGACCAGGCAGGGCAGGGGATGAGGCAGGAGACAGACCCAGGTAGTGCAGCAACTTCTGGGCCCGGTTCTGCACAGGTCGCAGCTGGAAAAGCTCAGGGTTCTCGTCGATGAATTGGGTATCCACGGTGCCTGCCAGGAACTGCTGGTTGTTGAGCACATTCTGCAGGAACGGAATGTTGGTCTGCAGGACAGAGGCAGGGCTGGGTGTCACCCGGCAGTCCAGAGAACCAGGGCCAGAGAAGAGGACTGTG